TACGGTAGTTGTAGGAAGGTGAGAGGTATATGATAGTTTCAGGGTAGTGGTTTACACGTGACAAGGTAGATGATAGCTTCAGGGTAGTGGTATACACGGGACAAGGTAGATGATAGTTTCAGGGTGGTGGTATACACGTGACAAGGTAGATGATAGTTTCAGGGTAGTGGTATACACGCGACAAGGTAGATGATAGTTTCAGGGTAGTGGTATACAGGTGACTAGGTAGATGATAGTTTCAGGGTAGTGGTATACAGGTGACTAGGTAGATGATAGTTTCAGGGGAGTGGTATACACGCGACAAGGTAGATGATAGTGAGTACGGTAGTTGTAGGCAGGCGAGAGTGTAGATTATAGTTTCAGGGTAGTGGTATACACGTGACAAGGTAGATGATAGTGAGTACGGTCGTTGTAGGCAGGTGAGAGGGAAGATTATAGTTTCAGGGGAGTGGTATACACGTGACAAGGTAGATGATAGTGTGTACGGTCGTTGTAGGCAGGTGAGAGGGTAGATCATAGTTTCAGGGTAGTGGTATACACGTGACAAGGTAGATGATAGTGTGTAGGGTAGCGGTAGGCAGGTTACAGGGTAGTTGACAGTATGTAGGTTAGTGGTAAGCATGTGACAAGGTAGTGTGTAGGGTAGTGGTAAGCAGGTGACAGGGTAGATGATAGTGTGTAGTGTAGTGGTAAGCATTTGACAAAGTAGATGATAGTGTGTAGGATAGTGGTCAGCATTTCTGAAGGTAGATGATAGTTTGCATGGTAGTTGTAGGCAGGTGCGTAGTTAGATGGTAGTGCGCAGGGTAGTGGTAAGGAGGTGACTGTGTAGATGTTAGTGTGTAGAGTAGTAATAGGCAAGTGACTGTGTAGATGATAGTGCGCAGGGTAGTGGTAGGCAAGTGACTGTAGATGTTAGTGTGTAGAGTGGTGGTAGGCAGGTGACAAGGTAGATGATAGTGCGCAGGGTAGTGGTAGGCAGGTGACTGTATAGATGATAGTGTGTAGGTTAGTGGTAGGCAGCTGACTGTAAAGATGATAGTGTGGAGGGTAATGGTAGGCAGGTGACAAGGTAGATGATAGCGAGTAGGGTAGTGGTAGGCAGGTGACTGTGTAGATGATAGTGTGTAGGGTCATGGTAGGCAGGTGACTGTATAGATGATAGTGTGTAGGGTAGATGGTAGGCAGGTGACTGTATAGATGATAGGTAGATGAGTGTGTAGGGTAGTGGTAGGCAGGTGACAAGGTAGATGTTAGTGTGTAGGGTAATGGAGCAGTGACAAGGTAGATGTTAGTGTGTAGAGTAGTGGTAGGCAGGCGACTGTGTAGATGATAGTTCGCGGGGTAGTGGTAGGCAGGTGACTGGGTAGATGATGATGTGTAGGGTAGTGGAACTAAGGTCCCGTTTTAGACAGCAATGGGAATAGGGATGGGTGAATAGAACATCACGAACTGCGACACAGTATGCGTGTGAATTCACTGCTTTATGCAGCCCACAGGAAAATTGTCAACAGAATATGTTTGTACGGGTGATATTGGGACACAAGGAAGTGTCACACAGGAAATACCGGCTTTTCTTCTCCTGATCACTTAACACAGACAATACAGCCTAACGGAACGCTAGCCCCCGTTAATTGAGATGTACTGATCATAAATGCAAACTGGGTTTTCCTTGTTATTGAGACAGTTATCCTGATGTAACGTTCACGTGGAACGTATAACATCCTGTTGATTGAGCACGGGCTCTGGTTGAACATCTCTTACTAATTGAAGGCGGGCAATAATTTATACTAAGATACTGGCTCCAAGATGGATTCCTGGCAGTCCTACTATTGGGTATGCTGGGTAAGGTCTGGTTGGTCAATTAGTGAGTGATGTTTTTAACCTTATTCCAGCAATATAAGGGCGGGGGACACCAGAAATGGACTTCAAACATGGCACCGTGTGAGGAGCGGCCGCTTTAACCACTAAGCTACCCAACCGCCTCTATGTTGTAGAGACGGTTTAGAAAAGTAGGGAAGCATGCAGGGTGCAAGCATGCATGACAATATCCGTTATCCTTCGTTAGACTTCACGGGTTGGGATCCCGTTGGCGAACACCTATTTCGTGAAATTGTTCAACTCAAATAAATAAAATAGAATAGAATGAAATACGCCTACGGCAAGTCGTAATCTCGAGTAAGGCAAGTCAATTCGCGATCTAAAACAAGTCATTATTTACTTTTAATGTTATTTGTGACAGAAAATGTAGCCGAGTCTTGAAATATATTATACGTTTGCTTGACGGAATAATGACTTCTTTGAGGGCATTTTTGAGTTGAGACGTACAATATTGAACAAACAGAATCTTGTAGCGATGATTCCTGCTTGACAACGGAACAAGAATCCGTATCGGAAAGTCGCACTCACGAAATAAAAGAAGTTGTTCACCATAAAGCTTTTTTTAAATATTGAATAGTGACTATTTCACACACTATATATGTTCCGAAAACCGCTTTGCCATTCGAACGGTAGTAATTGAGTGTGAATATATTGTGACATGGTAATATATACTCCTCACAAAATGTTAAGCAACACAAATTTGTAGTCTCATTACAATTTCATTTATTGAAATTGCAAATCACTGAATGATGCAATAGAAAGGTGAAACCTATGTACACACGATTAGCAAAATGAAATGAAATAGTTTTGAGCAATAATAGACTTACAAATCATCAAAAGCATGTACCCGCGAAACAGTCGTGCAAAATGTGCTGCATTGATGGAGCAAAATGTTAACATTAAGGTTCAAGTCAGTTTTGGACAGTGAAGCAGTGTTCAGTAACGAGTATGACTACCATGTGCACAAATGCAAGCCTCCACAGGTCTTTGCATTGACCAAATGAGCCTTTAAAGTTGCTGTTGTGGAATGTTCTGCCATTCTCTCTGTAACGCCTGCTCAAGGTCATCCAGAGTCTGAGGGTGAACATGGAGACCGTAAACACGACTACCAATAATGTCCCAAGCATGTTCAATTGGATTCAGATCAAGTGACCTTGCAGGCCAGTCCATATGTGTGATGTTGTTGATCTAAACAACATCGTTAACAACTCTTTCTCGGGCATTATCATCCATAGACGGGCATTTTCATCCATAAAAATGAAGTTAGGACCCGCTTGTTGTGCCAGAGGAATGATTACAGGTAGGTTTACACCAATCAGGGTGCATGTGTGAAGAGGGGAGCACATTCATGCCACACATTTTGCATGTTGTTTCTGAGGGTGGTTGTGTTCGAGTGATGTTGTCAATGTTATGAGATAAAACAATTTGACAGTCACTTAATGTTATGTATTCTTTCAATATTTACCTTTCAGTAACATGTCGGCAAAAATCGCTATCGAGATTGATAAGAATATTACACTGAAAATACTTGTTGCTTAATTTTTTGTGAGGAGTATATAACACGATGATTACTGGTGAAAATTCATTGTGTTTAAGGTCTATCGTGTCTTGAGTACTTAAGGTAATGGGGAGATTCCACACATTGGCTAGTCTTTTGGGATAACGTAATAAATGGTGTGTGGTCCTGGGCTTAGAGCTCAGGCCACAAATCAGTTGAACTTACTGGGGTAGCCTAGTGGTTAAAGCGTTCGCTCGTCAAGCCGAAGACCCGAGTTCGATTACCCACATGGGTACAATGTGTGAAACATCTCTGGTGTCCCCCGGAATATATTGCTGGAATATTGCTAAAAGCGGCGTAAAACCAAACTCACTCTCTCATTTTGTAACTACCGCCTGCGCGGTTTCGAGGACAGTGTGTGCGCTTGGTGACCGGACGGTGGATCTATGCAAAGCCGCCTCAAAATCCTGATCTTCTGTATGCTCTGCATAAGTGAGTGAGTTTGGTTTTTACGCCGCTTTTAGCAATATTCCAGTAATATCACGGCGGGGACACCAGAAATGGGCTTTACACATTGTACCCATGAGGGGAATCGAACTCGGGTCTTCGGCGTGACGAGCGAACGCCTTAACCACTAGGCTACCTACCGCCCGTTAAACTGACAGAAATACAAACAGACAGATATACAGACAGATAGACAGGTGTGTGTTCGTGCGTGTATGTCCACAGCAAATGTAATTATAGCGTTAAAATATGACTAGAATGTATGATAAGAACAGACTGTATAGTGGGGCTATATATAACACGCGAAGATCTGGATTAGAATTGATATTCAGTAACCCATGCTTGTCGTAACATGACACATGTCGTGACACATGTCCTAATATCTCCATTACGTAAATCGACCCTCATGCTGTTGATCCTCGTAAGGATGGGAATGCCACAATAACTCGGTGCGCCTAGTTGCTGCAAGAGTTGTATGCTCCCCAGGGAGTTGAGATTGACAATACGATGTGCCGTTGAGATTGACATCCAGTGAACGAGGGAAAAACAAAGCAAGCGCAAAGAGTCCTTGCGGAGATTTGCGCTCTATAAATGCTATCCATTATTATTATTATTATTATTATCACTGGTTTGTCTGGTCCTGACTCGATTATTTTCACACCGCCCCCATATACCTCTAGTATTGCATTAAACAACTAACAAATAAACAAATAAACAGATAACACAGAAGCACAAGTCCCCCTGTAAATTACATGGCCACTGTAACTAAATGAATGACAGGTGGGTGAATCCCCACCCGGAAGTTTCCAATACGTCAGAGATCTATTCATTGAAACCCGAGACAGCGAGAACTCTGATAACATCAGTCAGTTATAGAATTAGGTCTCGACTTTAGTGCTAACCCTTGACAGTGTTGAGAATACCCCATAGAAATCTTATATTCCTAAATAATCACATTTCTGCGAACAAACAATACAATTCACGCTCAAGCGCAATATCTCATTTCGACCATTGCGATATATTATGGGGGACTCCCGTTTGGATTTAGACCTCGAACAGGAAAGTTCTCAGCGTCATGATATCACGTGACTTTATTGAGGTAACTGTTGGGGATTTCAAGGCACACGATTGCAGCGAATCAAACAGCTATACGCTCACAATAGATTACTTTTCAATCACTGATCTTTTTACAAAGGAACCTGGACTTCCTATGGTGGTTGTGTATTCGGTTTTCCTTGTTCAAGTGACGACTGGATTGACGATAGAAGTTGAACAAATTTTACCTGCTTGCTGAACAAATCACATGACCAGCTGAAGTGGAAAGGGTATATTTCATGATGGTGCTATACAAGCTTCAAGTGGCAGCCCTGGCAATGGTCTTGTTCGTGCTGCTTATAGGTAAGATCTCACGGTCATACTACTGACTGACTGACTGACTGAGTTTGGTTTTACGCCGATTTTTAGCAATATTCCAGCAACATCACGGCGGGGGACACCAGAAATGGGCGTCACACATTGTGCCCATGTGGGGATTCGAACCCGGGTCTTCATCGTGACGAGCCAACGCTTTAACCATTAGGCTACCCCACCGCCCCACGGTCATCCTAATGTTCGGGATGAGAATGGTCTTTAAACTTCCATGGGTCTGTCACTTCACACTTTTTGGCTGCTTGGTTGGTTGGTCGGTTCATTGCTTGGTTCGTTCGTTCCTAGCATTAGTTGTCAATGATGAGGTCAGTAAAACGAAGCCAATGATCGATGCTCAATAACCCCAACTTGTTAAGTTTCAAGTAAACACTGTAGACAAATACTACTCCAAGTTTGCCATTAAGAGTATCCCTACCTTAAAAGTTAAAACGTGAAATTGTGTGGTATTGTGACCCACGTGTGCTATTCCGGGACAAGCCAAATAGCGGTAACAACCGGGAAGGAGACACCTTGTGCCCGCTGCTTTTGTTTAGATTACTAGTGCAGTCAACCATTGCAAACAGGCAGACAACAGAGGGATTAGTTACAGTCTGTTCTAAATGACACATAACAAATTCATTACGTATTTTTCATTCAGATTTGCTTATAAATTCATTACGGTTTAAGCATATTTTATTCAGATTTTATTCAGATTAAGACAACGTTCAGTAAGCGGGCACAGTGAGGTCAAACCAACGGGAAGGGTCGAGAGGTTACGAATGATTGTATGGATCTGTTGAAAAAGCGAAAGACAATATTACCAGAAGACCCGTTGTCACACGGGTGTAGGACAATTCCCCACACAAACAATTCCCCATCACCTGAGTGACAATTCCCCACACCTGATTTTTTTTATGAATTGTGTTGTGTTCTGGAGAGATAGTTACAAGACAAGGGTGCACTTACAGAATACCGGATACCTACCAGCCATATTGTTTAGTGTCACGTCACCCTAACCCTAATCCTTACCCTAACCCTAACCCTTACCCTAACCCTAAACCTTACCCTAACCCTTACCCTAACCCTAAACCTAAACCTTACCCTTACCCTAACCCTAACCCTAACTAAAAGTAAACTCGCGTGCTTTCAAAGATGGCGGAAGGTATCCGGTATTCTGTAATCTTACCAAGACAAGTACTGTTGTTTTTCTAATTATTGAGGTGAGCTATATTCTTAGCAATTATGTCTGTGTATTTTTAACCGCCTGGAGCAAAGGACGACATTATGTTGTTCTTAAAGATCACCAACGAGGCCTCAGGAATCTTTGTGTTGCACAGAGTGCTGGCCAGAAATACCTGGATCAGTTCCTGATATCCATTTCAAAGAATATTCGTCTTGGCTGAATGAAGTAATGTGCAAATGTAATCACTGTTATCACCTGTGTGTCTGATATTGTGCCTTTATGTGTTTATCAAAGAATGTGAAATATATAATAAAAGTGTCTGATACTGAAAGTTAAACTGGACGTACTGATTATTGTTAAGGAAAGTGAAAGAATGAATACGTATATAATGAAAAAAGTCAATATCACTTTTTAATGTGTGGGGAATTGTCTGTGTGGGGAATTGTCCGAATGGGGAATTGTCTGTTTGGGGAATTCGAAATGTCTGTTTGGGGAATTGTCTGGACCCCGTTGTCACACAATATATGTGACGAATAATCAGTCAGATCATCCACCAACATAAGAGTATCATCATGAAACCACGAAAAAATATATGATTCATTTAAAAAAAATAACTCGCACACGCGGTTTTGTGACCAATGAGATATCAGTCTGGTACCATCGTCTTATGCACCAAATACGTGTCTCGAGTGAGTGGGTGAGTGAGTTTACGATAAGCATGGGTTGCTGAAGACCAATTCTAACCCGGACCTTCACGGGTTGTCTGGATGTTATCTGAGGGAAGATTGTTCCACTCTTTAGTAAGAGAATGGCCAATCCTATATTATATATGCAGTTATCCAAACATTGTGCACAATAGTATTTCACTAGATTTTTGTTGGATGATTTTCCAATATCTTCAAAATTAGATCTTTTACTTGAAGACAAATGGTCCATGATATATCATGCATTTTGTCCACAGAATCAACATCAGCAAACAACAGGCACTGTGATGATGGATGCATGATTTCAACATTAGGCTTGTCATGCCAAACCTGCAAGCGTGGTTGTTATGGAAACCGATGCTCTCAACGATGCCGCCATTGCGACAGTGCCGGATGTGACAGAGAGACAGGAATATGTCACCGATGTCGCCCTGGACGCTATGGGGCAGCGTGTCGCCAACGGTGTACCCAATGCCCAGTCAAGTCTCACTGCGACAGACTCGATGGCACCTGTATTAAAACCTGCAAGGTGGGTGTTTTCGGTGTCCTCTGTAATCACAGATGTCCACGAAAGTGTAAACGTTCCTTGTGTCGCAAGAAAAATGGCCATTGCCATCTGGGTTGTAAGCCTGGCTGGAAAGGCATCTCCTGCAACAGCGAGTGTTCCAGTAACTGTCTCCACAAAGTCTGTCACGACAATGGAGTGTGCAAACATGGCTGCACTTCCGGTTTCTATGGACAGCTCTGTGACAAGAAGTGTTCCACCTTGGTCACCGCCGAGTGTGATAGCTTCACAGGCTGTAGGTCCACCTGCAGACAGGCGCTGTGTCATCCTAATAACGGGTCCTGTGTGCAAGGCTGCACACCAGGGTGGAGAGGGTCCCTCTGCAATGAGCGTTACTCTGACCTGAATTGTTCAAGCTGCAGTAATGAAACGTGCAAGGATGGATATCAACCCGGTTTCAGCAGCCACTGTGAGTAACCTTTATACTCCTCCTCCTCCTCCCAAGTTCCTCCTCTTCCTCTGTTCCTCCTCCCTCTTTCTAATTCCTTGTTCCTCCTTCTCCAATGTTCTCCTCTATTCTCCTCCAATGCTCCCCTCCTCTGTTCTTCCTCCAATGCTTTCCTCCCCTGTTCTTCCTCCATGCTCTTCTTCTCTGTTCCTCCTCCAATGCTCTCCTCCCGTTCTTCCTCCAATGCTCTCCTCCCTTGTTCTTCCTCCAATGCTCTCCCCCTCTGTTATTCCTCCAGTGGTCTCCTCCTCCGTTCTTCCTCCAATGCTCTTCTCCCCTGCTCCTCTTCCCATGTTCCTTCCTCCTCCCAATTCTTTTCCCCTGCACCTACTCTCTCCTCCTCCCATTACCCCTCCCTTGCGCCTACTCCCCCTCTCAATTCTTCTTACTCTACTATTACATCTCCTCTAACCCCTCTTATCACTGCTTTAACGACTCCGCTCCTTCGTCGCTCCTTCTCTTCCTCCCCCTGCTTCTCCTCGCAATTCTTCTCCCCTGGTCCGTTTCCCCCCCTGCTTCGCCTTCCTTTCATCAACTCCTTTTTCTCCCCCGGTCCGTTTTCCCCCCTGCTTCGCCTTCCTCTCCTCAACTCCTCCTTCTCCCCCGGTCCGTTTTCCCTCCTGCTTCGCCTTCCTCTCATCAACTCCTCTCTTTCCCCTGCTCCGTTTTTGGGCCTTCCTCTGATCAACTCCTCCTTCTCCCCTGCTCCGTTTCCCCCCCTGCTTCGCCTTCCTTTCATCAACTCCTTCTTCTCCCCCGGTCCTTTTTTGCCCCTGCTTCGCCTTCAGCTCCTCAACTCCTCCTTCTCCCCCGGTCCGTTTTCCCCCGTGCTTCGCCTTCCTCTCTTCAACTCCTCCTTCTCCCCATGCTCCTACTAATTCTCATCGCCCTGGTTATGAAGTAGTGTGTTTGGTGCTAAAGTACAGCCACTACGAAATGTCACAAAGCCTGAATGTAAACTCTGTTCTTTACAGTGTATTATCAGCATATAAATGACCAAAATGTGTACCACCCGTTCGACGAAAGTATATATGCTCTGAATGATGAGTATTTGTACATTGGATAAGATATGAGAACAGTACACTTGGTTCATTTGACTGGGAGGCACGGACGCCTTACAATTCTGTGCTGAGTTGCGTGCCATTAACCTTCACAGAGAGTGAATTGTTTTCACTCCACTCACTCACACGTTTCTCTTCAGGTGATGATGGGGGCGCAGGAGGCGGGTATGAGAATGGACAACTCTGGTAAGAATATAAGTTGCTCACTGGTCTCGAGGGGAGCATGGCCTGTTATCTTGCCTCACACATAAACGTCGTTTTCTGATTGGCTGAGCGCTCTTCTATCATTTTCTATGTACCCTGCTGGGAATGCCGAACTCATTTGGTACTTCGTAGTAGTAATTGAATGAATTGAATCACGTATGATATTTTGCAAATGCAAATGAAGGGAGATACTTAGTAACTCTAAATTTGTTTTTCTTGTCGTCTTGTCCTCCACATTATGATCCGACACCCGTGCTTCAAACAGTTCTAAATTACCATTGATGTGTTCGGGGGCAATGGGTTGATGTACCCTCGATGTTTGTTTGTGTTCCCTGAGCCCGAAAGGATGGAGGGAACATAAACAAACATCGAGGGTACATTATAAGTTGTTCACTGGTATCGAAGGGGACATGGGCTGATGTACCCTCGATGTTTCTTTATGTTCCCCTAGCCCGATGTACCCATGTCCCTTTCGAGACCAGTAAACAACTTATAATGTACTCTCGATGTTTGTTTATATTCCCTCCCTCCCGAGGGACCAGTGGACAACGCATTTATCTCACCGAACACCTCAATGGTAATTTTGAACTGTTTGAAGCACGGGTATCGGATCATAGTATTGAGTACCAGACGAAAAGAAAAACAAATTTAGAGTTATTTCCCTTCCATCGATTTGCATTCGCAAAACATCGGTAATTTCCGTACATCATACGTGATTCAATGTTATTCGAGATAAAGAATTACTACTACAAAGTACCAAGTGAGTTCGGCATTCTCAGCGGGGTACATAGAAAATGTTACTCGCTTGTAAGCGGGGTACATTGAAATTAATAGAAGAGCGCTCAAACGACATTTAGGTGTGAGGCAAGATAATGGCTATTGTTCGATCCCATATGTATCATACTGAGCCGATCAAGATCAACAATGTTTACAACGAACAAGGTTATAACGAATCGGTTTATAAACCAACCTGATTTTCGGTCCGGGACACTTAATGTATGCTTCAGTAGTTTAGCCGTAGTTGATGGATTAACATCATTCGGTTCATATATACGTAAGGAATTTACAATCCAAACCGATGTATGTCACATCAACATTATGTTTTCAAATACGAGACACTGAAAATGTACACGGGAAGTATAAATTGAACAAGTCAGATTAACTAACAATTCATGTGGCATACAAGTATAATATAAAAAACATCTTCTGTATTCATACATTGTCTTAAGTGAGTGAGTGAGTGCAGTAATCGGTGTGGACACTAGACGTGGGGCACAAGGCTACCTACCGCCCAATGATGCTATGAAGCACCGATGTGCGTCCTTTATAAAACAATTTACTTCTACAGAATGAAATGTACAGTTTCTCCTTTAGGCGCATCCTGCTCATCCTGGGCGCTGTCACCACCACCGCAATGATGGGATCGATTGCAGCTTACTGTACACGTAAAGAGCTCCGAAGGTAATTCTGAACACTCTTGAGGGATTACACAGTACAGTGTAACATTGGGGAAGAAGAGGTAGTTGCGGCTAGGAACGCAGCTAACACTGTTAGTAATGCAGAAAGCTGCAATGTTGGAGGGTATGCAGTAGGCTGCAATGTAGAGGGGTATGCAGTAGGCTGCAATGTTGGGGGTATGCAGAAAGCTGCAATGTCAGGGGGTATGCAGAAGGCTGCAATGTTGAGGGCATGCAGAACGCTGCAATGTTGGGGGCATGCAGAAGGCTGCAATGTTGAGGGCATGCAGAAGGCTGCAATGTTGAGGGCATGCAGAAGGCTGCAATGTTGAGGGCATGCAGAAGGCTGCAATGTTGGGGGCATGCAGAAGGCTGCAATGTTGGGGGTATGCAGAAGGCTGCAATGCTGGGGGTATGCAGAAGGCTGCAATGTTGGGGGGCATGCAGAAGGCTGCAATGTTGAGGGCATGCAATGTTGGGGGCAGAAGGCTGCAATGTTGGGGGCATGCAGAAGGCTGCAATGTTTAGGGGTATGCTGAAGGCTGCAATGTATGGGGGTATGCAGAAGGCTGCAATGGGGGTATGCAGTAGCCTGCAGTGTTGGGGGGTAGGCTGCAGAAGGCTGCAATGTTTGGGGGGTATGCAGAAGGCTGCAATGTGTTAAATGTTGGGGGTATGCAGTAGCCTGCAATGTTAGGGGGTTCAATGTAGAGGGTATGCAGTAGGCTGCAATGTAGGGGGGTATGCAGTAGGCTGCAATGTCAGGGGGTATGCAGAAGGCTGCAATGTCAGGGGGGTATGCAGAAGGCTGCAATGTTGAGGGTATGCAGAAGGCTGCAATGTTAGGGGGTGTATGCAGTAGGCTGCAATGTAGAGGGGTATGCAGTAGGCTGCAATGTTGGGGGGCAGAAATGCAGAAATGCAGTAGGCCTGCAATGTCAGGCTGCAATGTTGGGGGGTATGCAGAAGGCTGCAATGTCAGGCTGCAAGGGTATGCAAGGCTGCAATGTTGGGGGCATGTAAGAAGGCTGCAATGTTGGGGCAAGTATGGAGAAGGCTGCAATGTTAAAGGGGTATGCAGTAGGCTGCAATGTTGGGGGGCATGCAGTAGACTGCAATGTAGAGGGGTATGCAGTAGGCTGCAATGTAGAGGGGTATGCAGTAGGCTGCAGTGTATAGGGGTATGCAGTAGGCTTCAGTGTTGGGGGCTATGCAGAAGGCTGCAATGTTGGGGTATGCAGAACGCTGCAATGTTAAGGGGGATGCAGTAGGCTGCAATGTTGGGGCATGCAGAAGGCTGCAATGTTGGGGGGCATGCAGAAGGCTGCAATGGGGGGCATGCAGAAGGCTGCAATGTTGGGGGTATGCAGAAGGCTGCAATGTTTGGGGGCATGCAGAAGGCCGCAATGTTGAGGGGCAGCAGGGGCAATGCTGAAGGCTGCAATGTTGGGGGCATGCTGAAGGCTGCAATGTTGGGGGTATGCAGAAGGCTGCTATGTTAAAGGGGGTATGCAGTAGCCTGCAGTGTTGGGGTGTGTGCAGAAGGCTGCAATGTTGGGGGGTATGCAGAAGGCTGCAATGTTAAGGGGGGTATGCAGAAGGCTGCAATGTTGGGAGGTATGCAGAAGGCTGCAATGTTGGGGGGCATGCAGAAGGCCGCAGTGAACGGAAGTCTGCAGAAAGCCGCAGTGTTGGGGAGTCTGCAGAAGGCTTCTTGGAAGGTGTCCCATGCCTTGGCATCTTGGTCATTGGCTCAGTGTGGACCCCATTTCATCCTCAGCTCCCTGGGGAGTGTATAATACCACGTTTGAAAGTGACCAAACACTATACTCTATGCCCAATTGAAATCGAATCTAGGAATCAAATGTAATATTATGAGAGTATATATGCAGTGGAAGACGTGGAGCTTCTCTTAGAAAGTCATGTGTGTACCCTGAATGTAGTTCTACTCTGCACACAATTTAATATCTACATTTTCTTGCAGGAAAAAACAAGTGAAAGTTGCATACATGAAAGTTGAGAGTCCGGTGTATTTGGGCACTGTCTCGAAGGAAGTCAAACTGAAGCAGTGAAACCATATCCGAAATTAAGATGAACTCTAAGAAGTAAACATTTTCCTAGGATCCGAAAATCTACTATGCACATTATCTTTTAGCTAGGATCTGGAACTCTCAAGATCCAAAACTTCTAAAGCTTGGACCCTCAAGTCCAAAGGATGCCCTAAAATTCGCCAGCCGGACATCAAAGAAAGTGCATCAGTACAAAATGTTCTGCCAATAGCTCATGAGTAAAATATCTGAACACGTAGTACTTCGACAAAAATTTAAACTTATGCTTAAAGGAAACAGCTTGAGGACCACCATGTCTGAAGAGTACATGTAAATCTTCATATGAACCCGTGAAGATCCGGGTTAGAATTGATCTTCAGTAAACCTAAGAGGCGACTAACGGGATCGTGTGGTCAGACGTGCTGACTTGGTTGACACATGTCATCGTATCCCAGTTGCGTAGGAGGTGCTCATGCTGTTGATCACTGGATTGTCTGGTCCAGACTCGATTATTTACAGACCGCTGCCATATAGCTGGAATATTGCTTGAGTGCGGCGTAAAACAACAAACCAAACACAAACCAGCAACATCTGATATTTCATGCCTGTAGAATGCGCTCCTTTATCAACTTCCCTTTGAGAATACGGTCAACAAGTGAGATATGAACATGATTGCCATATACGCAATGATATATGCGGGAAAAGGCTGGGCTATCAACGTTTGGGGGGGTGAGAAACTCAGATTAGATCTTTTAACTCAAAATTCAAAGTAAAATAAATGCAGCCCCACCTTTCTTTGGTCTGGTACAAGGAAATTAAACATTATTCACACAAAACTAAGGTACAATACAAGTCCGCTTAATTACGATTTATTCAGAATTAATTTAAGATCAGATGCTTCTTGTACTTGTGGTTGTTCTTGTGAAAATTCATGGCATTATCTTTTAGAATGTTCTTTGTATGCAACGCAGCGTAAAGATTTGTTTGTAAATGTAAATACTGTCGTTAAACATCGCATACCCATTAATCTAGATTTATTGTTATTTGGTAATGTTACACTATCACCATGTAAAAATGAATTATTATTTGAACATGTACACAGATATATTAAGCTCACTGAAAGATTTTTGTAGTTTTATTCTTGTATATATTATACACATCCTCTTTAAACACCTTGTAAATTCATTGCAAATCCCTGTTGTCAATGTTTTTTGTATTGTAAATATGACATATGTAACTTCTGGGAGAGGGCGTTCCTAAGTTGGATAATTTGTGCCCAATCTATTTGATTTTCGAATAAAATATGTTTAAAGCAAACAAATCTGACATGATCAGTATGGCATTCTTTGTCATAGAACGTTGCTGTACATACAATACCATATAAATATTGCACAAATCACCTCAATTATACAATGGCTTGAGGTGAGGTGAGGTGAAATTGGGTTTTACGTCGTGCTTGAGAATATTTCGCTCATATGACGACACATTGGCTTGAGTGTATGCATGATCCTGTATATTTAACGTAACTAAAAGAACTAAATTGTTGAAAGACAGCTACTTTCACCTAAAGAAATCAAGCCAAGTCCAATCCCCAAACCCCGCAGAATGCGTATCCGTGTAATGACCGCAGTGTTGCAAAGTGATATTTTTTGCGAAAAACACGTGATTTGCGTGCATAGAAATTGCACTTGCACATACGGTATAAAAACTCTTCAGTTCACATGTTAGAGATGCAGAATTAAGAAAGAAAAACACAAATAAAATGTCAAGGTTAACACAAAAACAATGTGAGAGGGCCATAGGAATGCTGCAAATGGGCACGACAGACCCATGTGGCAATGACATTGAACTGCTCCCGTAAAACTGTAGGCAACTTGGTCCAGCGATTTAGAATGACGAGTCGGACAAAAGACAGGTCACGAACGGGGAGACCAAGGGTGACCATCCACCTGAAGATCGCTACCTACGCACTTTGCATCTTATTCGTAACAGATTCTTGCCTGTGGGTCGTGTGTTCAACAGACAGACAGTAGCAAAACGACTGGACAGCCGGTATCAGAACCAAAAGGTCTGCAGACCCCGCAGAGGCCAGCTGTTGGTCAGTGAACATCGTCGTCGAAGACTGAGATGGACGAGAAAAATGAGGCGTTATCAATGTCATAATTGGCAGCGCGTCCTCTTCACCGACGAGAGCAGGCTATGCATGTCGGTCTGATGGCAGACAACGTGTTTATCGTCGAAGTGGCAAACGTACTGCGAGTTGTTGCATACAACAGATCGTACCCTTTGGGAGTAGGAGTGCCATGGTGTGGGGAGGCATTTGTGATGACGAGAAGACGTGTACGGCATTGGTCATCATTGATGGTAACGTGTGGAGCGGTATGTGATTGCAGTCGTATACGCTTGTCAGCATTACCTCCCTTGTACTTAGTTAGACGTTCTCATGTGACATGTCGATCACCTCTCGTCTAAGTTTACTTCTCACTACACTTAGATATGTAATTCAGGACGCAACATGGTGTCAGAAGACGGAGCAACAACCCCAATATTGTTGAGAAGAGGAATAATTTATTAGAAAGTTAACTTAAGTAAATCTGTAATGATATTTTATGTGTTCTTCTTTGAGTTTCTACATTGTCACTAAGTTACAGAAGAGTTGGAAATGAGTGTTATTTTCAATCGAACACAACTTCAACCATGTATGACAACACGATACTAGAAGCTGGAAAATGCAGAGTTCGAGTTCGAAATTCCATGAATGGTGATGTGAAAGAATTTCATTTTGTTATCGTCGACGACAATGTGAAGCAGATCCTTGGTTCCTTGGTCATACAAGCTTTTCAGTTGATAATGTCTGTGAGTATGTCTGATGATGTACTTGAAGAGTATGCTGATGTGTTCAAGGGTGAAGGAAAACTCGAAGGAAGCTTGCATTTAGAGATTGACAAGACTTTCGAACCTGTCAAACTACCTTTATAGAAAAGTTCCCTTAGCTCTAAAACCCAAATTGAAGTGTGAACTCAAGCGACTCGAGGTTTTAAGATTTATCGAACAGGTGTCTGTCATTACAGATTGAATTTCAGCAGTGGTTATTGTGACAAAACCGAGTGGGAAGATCAGAATTTGTCTGGAACCTAAACCCAACAAAAGCATTGAAGCGGAACCATTATCCAGCACCAACTATAGATGACTTGTTACCAGACTTGTCAGCTGCCAAAGGTACAAGGTACGAAGGCAATACATGATTACATACTGGGTACGTTTGAAGAAGCTTTTGGTGACCATGATAGAAAGTTGAAATCTCTTCTTGACAGATGTAGAGAGAAGAGATAAAGTTGAACAAGGTCAAAATCAAGTTGAGGAAACCTGGATGTCCTGGTTGTTTCACATCATTCGAGCTGAAGGTTTGAAATTGACCCCTATGAGATCGACCGGAATGTAACATTGCAAAAGTGAAAATGTAGTTGCAAAGGTCAAACACACACGCACGCACGCACGCACGCACGCACGCACACTTCTCTAAACACCCACCTCTACCCATCACCACACCCATCACTCCCCTCCTCCACCACACCTCTACTCCCATTCGACTTGGAACAACAGTAAACCTAATAGTCCTGTCGTCTAAACCTCAGCTGCTGGCTGCAGCAAGCTTGGCGGAACTGGCTGAGGCTGGACAAACCAAGTCTGCGGAATGTAGCGAGAAGACAGCTGACAGCATGTGATCATTCTATGCGTATTAGGGAAATCTTTCAATAGCCATGTGTTACAGCCCTCGTGATTGGTTATCATTGAATGTCAGTCTGAACACATGTACAGGAGAAACGGCGTTCACTGTGTGGTTAGGCCTCTTTACCTGCAGTCAAACACAATACCGACAATGACAAAACTGTGAGTACCTTCTGTTGATAATACCTAACACGACTGCATGTATGTATGTATGTATGTATGTATGTATGTATGTATGTATGTATGTATGTATGTATGTATGTATGTATGTATGTATGTATGTATGTATGTATGTATGTATGTATGTATGTGTGTGTGAGAGAGAGAGAGAGAGAGAGAGAGTCTCAACTACAATTTCGCTTTTGCACTTTGTTTGCTGTTATTATACACCCTTGTGTCTTTTTCAGTATATTTCGGTCGATCCTTGCAATCTCAGTGGTTGTAGTCGGATTTATTCACCTATGGATTACCTTCAGTCTGGTCAATGTTGGCTGGATCCAAAGAAAAATGTTATCAGTACTCCCATTTCAGAAACAGGGCAAGTCGCATCTCACAAACGACATGGTAAAAGATTCAGTACAAGTGAATTCTATTTCACCCAAGACAATTCTTTGGTACTTTCCACCGAGGTATGTACCAACGGATAATAGAGGCAAAGTTCCCTTACCTGCATGCCCTGAGTTAAAATGCTTCGTGACAAGAAATAAAACATTTCTACCAGAAAGTGATGCCGTCATATTTAACTCACAGTTTATCGAAGGCGACATTCCCCCTCGAAAACCAGATCAGGTCTGGATCTTCCACAACAGTGAGGTCCCATATCATAAGTCCACTAACAGACCTTACCATAGAAACCCTTGGTCTTCTTCTTTCAACTGGACTATGGCTTATAGACACGACTCGGATATATTTCGACCCTATGGAGTACTCAGAAGAAGACCAAACATCCCTATCAAGAACTATACAAGCATTGTTCGGAAGAAAACTAAGTTGGTAGCTTGGATGGCGAGTAACTGTGCAGATTGGAGTAAGAGACGCTCATACGTCAGGGAGCTGCAGAAGCACATCCAGGTTGATATTTATGGAGCTTGTGGAAAGATGGTGTTTTCGAGACTCAGAAATAAAGAGTGGATGGCATATCTGAATGAAACATACAAGTTCTATTTGGCATTTGAAAATAATTATTGTCTTGACTATATCACTGAAAAACTCTTCAATTACTTTACCCTTGACCTTGTAACGGTTGTTCGCGGAGGCGGAAACTACTCACGTGATGTTCCTCCAAATACTTACCTAAATGTTGCTGATTTCAAGTCCCCCAAAGAACTGGCTGATCGCTTGTGGTTTCTGCACTACAACACTGACAGGTATATCGATATCCTGAAACGCAAGGAGCGGTATTATTATCAAAATGAGGACTACAGGTTCACCTTTTTGGGCTCTCCTTACATTGAACAGCACTACGAGCAGGAACCTATGTGCGACTTATGCAGGAGACTCAGGGACATCACACATTACAGGAAGACCATTCCTGATATTTTGTCATGGTGGAAAAAAGGGCTTTGTCGAAATCCTGTAACATATATGTAATACGTGGGTAATAAGACTAGGGACTTGGTATTGTTAGTTTGGCGGGTTCACAATTATTATAATCCATATTTATTATGTATATTCTCAGTATGTTACGTGTGCTACACGCAGAGACAGAGTTTTGGACAAGTGCTATGGAAATATACCACAAGCCTACAGATCTGATCACAACACTGTATTGTAATTACCTGCTTACACGCAGAAATTGAAAATATTCCAGAAAACTATCAATGTCTCAGACAATGAATCACAGAAAGAGTTATATGTTCAAATAAGAAAGAATAAATACTCTTTCAAAGTCAGAGTTGACAATGACCTTCAACGTGGCGACATGCGCAGAGCCTGGCAATGAATACAGACTATGATTAGAGGCATACGCAGAAGATCCAACTCTTTCTACGCCAGATTCTAAGACATCGACTACACATGTGAACTGGAGGATATCACTAACTGAAGGGATGCTGCTCAGAACTGTCATATGTTTTCAGTAAACTATTTGAGGAATCATATGACTCTCGCGTTATTCCATGAATATGGAACCTTTCCAAAATTATTCCAGTTCCAAACATACCAAGACCTACAGAACTTCACGATTATCGACCAGTGGCGTTGACACTATTGTCATGAAGCGTCTTGAACGGATTATGCTCCGACGTCTCCACTGTGATGTTAAAAGATTACTTTGATCCACTACAGTTTGCATACAAGGCTGAGCGAGGTGTTGATGATGCCACAGTGACCCTATTACATACAGTCACGAAACTTCTTGATTCATCCAAAATGTATGCCCGTGTCTAATGTGTGGACTTGAGCTCGTCTTTTAATACTATATTTGATGCTACAGAAACTATGTGATGTGAATGTTGTTCCTCACATTTTCTCTGGATAAAGGACTTTTTAGCCAACCGTCTACAAAATGTGAGAGTCAATTGCGAGACACACTCCAAAACACGTATCTTATACACAGGTGTTCCACAAGGTTGTGTACTTTCCCCAGTCCTATTTACATTATATACTAATGACTGCAAAAGTGATGTAAATCAAACTCTAACTGTAAAATTTGCCGATGATGCCGCATTAGTTGGATTGATAAGATGCTACATACATACATACATACATACATACATACATACATACATACATACATACATACATACATACATACATACAGACATACATACATACATACATACATACATACATACATACAGACATACAGACATACATACAGACATACATACAGACACATACATACATACATACATACATACAGACAGACATACATACATACATACATACATACATACATACATACATACATACATACATACATACATACATACATACATACATACATACATACATACATACATACATACATACATACATACATACATACATACATACAGACATACAGACAGGCACAGACATACATACATACAGACAGACAGACAGACAGACAGACAGACAGAAAGACAGACAGACAGACAGACAGACAGACAGACAGACATACATGATGCTTCATTTGCTTCAACAAATGAGAACACAGCCACAAATGCAGCACTCAGAGTTCATAGGGGCACAATGCAAACTTTTTTTATCTTCAGACATATACAAACACTCATCAAATGTACATTCAAACAAAAAAGACTACAGCTCCAAAACAAACAGAAAGATAAATTAGTAGCAGCAAGCCCTAACCCTAAATTATTTTAGAAAACACGTTCAACCAACATCACAATCATGTTAACAATCGATAGATGACTTCTCAAATCTTTTGTCCATTAATACTCCTCACAAACACACAAGAACATTAACCTGCACCATCACAACGTACAAGCAACGCACATTCTTTTTTAAACCAATCATTTTTTCCCGAACAAGAAATATCTACAACTATTCTCTCTTTGCCAAATAGTACAGTCCCCGATCCATACGGAATTGCACATGAATTTCTAAAGGAGTCGAGAAGTTTCATTGTCCCTACTCTCACTGTTAAGTTCGTTTATAAAAAAATATGACTTTGGCTATTTCCATCCCATTTGGGGTTGGGGCATTTTTTGCCCTTTGTAAAAATCTCATGACAAGAACGACCCCCGATATTAACCCCGGTATATCTCTCATCGACTGCCTTTGCAAATTATTTACATCAATTCTAAATCAAAAATTTAAATTTGGTACGATTTAAATAAAATATTATTTGTGAATATCAGGCTGGTTTCATGAAAACCTATTCTACAATAGACCACATTTCTACACTTCAGGCTATGACACAGAAATATTCATATAAGAAACAAGGAAGATTACATTTAATTTTCCAAAAGCTTTCGAGACACTTAAACATGAGGAACTATTACATGCTCTCCATAAGGTTGGGTTAGATGGGAAGTTTTTAAATATTGTTACTTCAATGTATAATTCACTTTGTGCCTGTGTTAGAACACCTGAGGGACTTTCTAAACAATTTTATTGTAATGTGGGTACGGCCAGGGAAGCATTTTAGCCCCCTATATTTATAATATATATTAATTATTTATGTACATTAATGCAACATGAAGGTGATATTTATTTCCGCTATTTTTGATAATGTGTATGACCTCAATGTTTGCTCATGATGTTTCATTGCATTTAACACATGTGTATTCAACTGCAGCAAATGATGAATGCCTTTGAATTCATTTATAGAGAAACAGGAATGAATGTAAATCTTAAGAAAACTAAAGTTGTTTTTAGAAATGAAGGGTCCTGATCTTATAAAAAGTGGTATTTTAATGGGATACAATTAGAAGCTGTATCTTTTCACCAACACCTGTTTGGTCCAGAGCACAATTATGTTTAGCATCTCAAGCCAGAAAGGCAATTTTATCAGTTAATCATTTTCAAAAGAAATTTGGAACATTAATTGTACAGAATTATTCAAATTCACTTTATTTTATTCACTGATCACACCAATTTATGCTAAGGCCCAGAAATATGGGGGACTTCTTATTGTAAAAGTATTGAACGTGTGAGGCTTGATTTTTATCAATAGTATCTTAAAATAAATAGGTCATATTGTAATTTTATGGCACTGGGTGAGTGTGGCAGATTGCCCCTGCAGCTTAATTATATGACCCGTGTAATTAAATATTGGTGTAGAGTAATACAACTTCTCCATGACAGATTACCCTTTCAAAGTTGCCTTGTCCTTAAGTCATGATAGAGCAACATGGGCATCAAAGTTCAAAGCATTCTTTTAAATTTTGGTTTTGGATATGTTTGGTTTAGCCAAGATGTTGGTGATGTAAAAATGTTTATAAGCTTCTTTGAACAAAGATTATCAGATAATTTAAAACAGTCTTGGTACACTTCCTTGAGTAATTCCTCCAAATGCAACTATTATCAATATTTTAGGTCAGTATTAATTGTTGAATATTATTTACCGTTTAACCCTTCTACCCTTTTAAGACTTGCTTCAGCACAATTTAGGCGTAGTAGTTTTAAGATAGCTGTAGAAACATTGCGTTATATCAAATCTGACTATAATCAGAGATTATGTACATCATGTAAATCTAAAGGTCTAACCTATATTGGAGATTAATTTCAAGTATTGTTTATTAGTTAATCCTGTTCACAACTGAGAGAGAGAGAGAGAGAGGTATATTGCAAAATTTGTTATAAAGCCTTACACTTTATATTTTTAGGTAATCTTTTAGAGAATGCTAACTTAGATTTAGCTTGTAAATCATGTTGCTATATATCTATTTAATGTTAAGCGGATTATTATAAACACTCTTGAAAGATCATTGTGACCCTGAAGATACTGTATGTTTTAATGTATTTTGGGCCTATGGCCTTATACTGGAAATAAACTCTGACTCTGACTCTGACTCTGACATTCAAATCATCAGCATAATGTGTATGAATGACTTATACTTTCCTTTCTGTAGATATTTGAAAAGTGTTAATACTGTTTCATGTGATATCTTTTGTCTGCTCAAATCTGTTTCCGGAAATAAATTGGGGCCTGTTGCCATTCAATTTTGATAGTTTCAAGTGATATATACATGATATCTATTTGTATCATTTATATCAATTACATTTATGTAATTAATTAGATCAGTTGCATAGATGAATGTAATGTATGATATTTGGATAGTTTCATGTGATATATATATGATATCTATTTGTATCATCTTTGTCAATTACATTTAAGTAATTAATTAAATCAGTTGCATGAATGTAATGTATGATATTTGGATAGTTTCATGTGATATATATATGATATCTATTTGCATCATTTATATCATTTACATTTAAGTAATTAATTAGATCACTTGCATCGATGAATGTAATGTATGATATTTGGATAGTTTCATGTGATATATACATGATATCTATTTGTATCATTTATGTCAATTACATTTAAGTAATTCATTAAATCAGTTGCATGAATGTAATGTATGACATTGTTTACGTCAGAGATGAATATAACATATGAATATAACAAGATGCGGTGGCTGAGCGGGTTAGGCGGCTGACTTTGTGTGCTAGCGATTAGGTGCCTGACCCTTAAGCTGTGGGTTCGAATCCCGGATGGGACTCAACCTAACAAAAGTATTAGAATCTGTACTTTACTAAGGAAGTGTAATCCCAAATATAACATATGATACATTTGACCACTTTCTAAATGGCATTGTATATTCACAGAAATTAATATGTTTCTTGGACAATACCCTTTTTGAATTTTACATGATTGTAAAATGATAATGATTAACACCCTGAAATATGTTTAACTGGTGAAATCTTTATTCAAGAAATTTTAATTTTAACAAATATTAACTAATTATGAAATTATGAAAACATTTCTGATGATTTTTACAACATAACTCTTGCACAAGTACCATAAAAGGCTGTTAACAACAAGCCAAGGTCAAGGCCGTGTAATCAGAATCCGGTCAAGGGGTACCTTTCTTTCAGGAGCTGTTAATCATTAATGTGCAACTAACTTTGCAAGAAAA